ACTACGTGCAACTTTCACCACCTTCAGCTGGGTGACATGCCCGCGCTGGTTTCACTCCTACCAAGCTCATAGTTTTCAGACTTTTCACAGACTTGGCCGAGGCTGTTGTAGATGATGTTTACCATCCGTAGGATTTCGGAACAAACTGTCATGATGCGGCCAGGTAGTAGCACGAAAAGCAGTGTACGTCTGCCTGCTACCTTTTGACCCCAAGAGCGTGGGTTCCCAGCGACATGAGGCCGCAAAAAATGATTGGAGAAGGGGGATTGGAAGCAATGTCACCAATGTTCTTCACTTTGCTTGTCTGCTGCGTGCTGACAATTGACGCTGCATGCTGTGCTGGGATAGGAGCCAAATGAATCCAATGGCAAGCGCGGCAGCCGATCTTTGGGCTACACGTCTCTGCGATTGGCATCAGCGACCAACCGCGCTGAACAAGATCTCGGAGGTTTTCGTTGCCACGTTCGTCGGTACTTATGTTTAGGGTTGTGTGACTCTCAGACTGCCCAGGCCTAGGCTGTGATGGTTTATTAAAGTCAATAAAACCAACGAAGAGCCCTGCATCACGAGCCATGGCGACTGCTGCGCTGTGGGTGGCAAGCGGCCGTTGCCTTGGACACCTCACATAATCTGGCGTTCTCTGGCTGACGGCCACCGTGGACCAGGTTGGCTGCCACCAGCTGCACGTGCAGTGGCACGAGACCCTGAATGCCCGCGCGACTCGGTATGAATTTGCTGATGCATAGACCGTATATCTGAATATTGCCTACGACAGAATGCAGGACCTCAAAGGCGCGGCATGCGTTGCCGGCGCGTCTCGCTCTGTCAGGACCTTCGCTCTTGCATGTCATGCTTCCCAGCAATCGTATATAGCCATTTGCATCTGTGCCTGTGCTCAGACCTGTTTTCGATTGTTGGGGATCGAAGTAGCGAGACAGATGAGGACACTGTTGGGCACGCCATCGAGCAGCTCTGGTTGGACTCCCTGTGAACCAAATGCAATGCAAGCCTTCCGGAAGTTGATGCACGGACTGAGGCCTGCCATACGATCACTGGGCGAGGCTATTGGAGTTCTTCGGGAACCTAAGTTTCACCGGTGTCTCTACCTACTCCACTGTCCCTAGACGCTCGCTGACTGATTTGTTGCTGCCATCGCCTTGGAGTCTGGCTCGCCCACTGCAGGTGTCAAGAGACAACTTACAAGTTGCATGATCTGGCATGATCGGAACAGAGCTCGTGCGTGAATCGACGATCAAGTCATACAAACTCCAAAGTCACAAAAGAGCCGGAAGTTGAGCTTTCTACTCGCTCAGCGCTTCCGTCGTGGCCGCGGCCAAGGCAGGTGGCCGCTTCCAAATGGACCAGAGGACTAAAACTGATCTAAGTCGCTGGTGAGTGACGCCTCGCAGCGAGTAATTAGATCAAGCTCCAGGCCTTTAGGGGACTTCCCAAGCATGTTCCGGAGCCAACGTCGCGAAGCCCGCACGCAAACCGAACAGGGAATTCTCTCTGCGAGGTTTCTCGAAAGATGGCCGGCCTCATGGATCGCGAAATGGTGCGCAGCCGAAGCCGAGATAAGAAAGGGGCAGGCACAGATTGAGATTCATGTTTGAGACAAATTCATGAAGGGCTGCCCCCCGTGCTGTGGCTTGGCAGTTGGTGGCATGCGTGGCTGGAGCGACAGCGAGTCAGACGATGGCAAATTTCAGCTCAAGGCCCGCTGCTTGCATCCATGGAGCGACCTGCATTCATGCTTCGCAAATTCATTCTGCTGGCTCCCGTTTCATTGTCCACCTCGCACTTGTTGCATATGTTTGCGCCAACATAAGATGGGGGTCGCACCATCAGCAGCCGGAATCGTTGATTGCGCGTTTGTGTGCGTTCTGGGGATGGTACTCACGGGAATCGATGCTGGAAATGCTTGGAGACCGTCGTTTCGTCTTGCCACGGTGAAGGAACTGATGCGTTGAACAGTCGTTGACTATGGAGCCCTGCGGCTGCCGGACGATGCAGAGGGATAATGCTTACGGCCCATGCTGTAGCGCCCAGGCCACGACCCTTTGGCTTATTTCTGTGAGGTTGGCTCGGAAAGCATTTTGGGCATTCAACCTCCAAACTTGCACTACCGAACCAGTGCAATCAACGCTGCAATCCGATTAGGTTGCAAAATTGTTGCAGACATCCAGAGTACGTGGGAGGGCGCTTGCTTCGAGCATCAGTGTCCTGGAAGCCAAGTCTGCGCTGCGTCAGATGTTGGTGCAGATTGAACGAGACAATTGCCGTGGCTTGGGAGGCTTGAGAAAACCTATAGCACGCTGCATGCTGTGGAATGGAGCCCTTTAAGCTGAGTCTCCCTCCCGATCTGTACAAACTCCCTTTCTTGAACAGCTGCCTCTTTTATCACGCAGGGTTTCGTGAAAGAGTGCGATCGCAAGTGGCACCCCTGTGCTTGCCACCCTTCGATGCCACCGATCCTTCTGCCAATGTGCTCCATGCCATGCCCTGCCCATGCAGGCTCCGACAAAGCTTGCGCCGGTGTCGGGATGGAAGCAGGCGCTGCCGACAGTTCTGAGCACAGCATGTTAGACCTGGCCTGGCAGAGGCTGAGAACAAAAAGCCGGCAGGCTCTCAGGCGCCGCAAGAAAAGTGCGGAGTGCGGATACCTCGCCTCGGGTATCTTCGTGGTTCTTCCATCACAGAGATGTGGAGAGAAGTGAGCATCGCTCGGACACGCGTCGTGTGGTCCAGGACATCTTCCTCCGGCCCACGCCCGTGATTTCAGGAATCCGCTTGCTTCCAGCTCCAGGTGCTCCAGTCTGCTTGCTTTGCCGATGGAAGGCAAGCCTCGCACTGCCAGGCCTCGAAGATGATGAAGAAGAGGGCAGCGATGGCGAGAAGATCCGTAAGCCAGTGGCCAGCCGAGTGGTTTGGTCCTGTTTGAGGGTGGCCCCAAGTGTTTGCTCCGTGGAACGATTCGTGGCAGGGCAGGCCATTAAAAGCAGCCTCCGCGGATGATTTGGCACACGTACGAGCTGCACGGAAGGACACTGTTACGTAATAGTTCTTGACTTTGCATGAGGTTTCTGAGGAGTTATGGCATAGCCGTCGTCAGACAGCACCGAATGCGCATTTGGATCTCAGCTGGTTAGGAATCTGCTCCGGAGAGGAAGGCCGATCAGGAGGATCCGGGTTTGCAGCCGCACACATGGGCCAGCAGATTTGAGGATGTTTTAAGGTGCAGCATTGCCAGCAAGTCAGGTCATGTGTTTGCAGTTTGTTCATCTGGCATCTGGCGAACGGAATCAGACCCTTGAGCGCAGGACGCGCCCAAGGTTCCAAGAAAATCAAAGGAGCGGGTTCGGGCAGCAGCAGCCAGCCAGCCAGCAGTCAAGTGCTACTGCAAGCATGCACCTCATTTTGAGCAGGCAGCTAGCCCACACGAGTTGGTTAATGTGTGGAACTATGCTGGCAGGAGGTTTGGGAAAGGACATGTTGATATGCCCGGAGAGTGCCAATCCCGTCCTTCTACTCCCTGATACTGCCTGACCAGTAAGTCGAGTGCATGGTAGCCGGGCCATAAAGCCAACTCTCATGATACACAGGAGGACAAAGCTCCAAAGGCAGACGCAGAGCGAGAAAGCAAGGAGGCCAAGGAGAGCAAGAAGAGGCCCGGGATGGCCCGGGAAACAAACACAGATTGGGGAAGTTCGTGAAACCGTAACTGCTTTCTGGCCCTTACATGCTAGGCCGCTCCATGCCACTCCTGAGGCGTGAAGACCAGGGCGAAAGCCGAAGCAAAAAGGAGAAGGCAAACACCTGCTCTCCAGACCACTGCACTTTTTGGAGTAGTCGGCATCGGGCTGGCAGGACCGGAATGGAACAGACCGTGGCCGAGGAGACGATGGCCGCGCTCGGCGAGGAGACGAGGATCGCGATCGGGAACGGAAAGAGGACCGTAAAGAGGACCGAGACCGACGAGAGAAGCCTCGTGACGATCGCCGTGATCGCCGCGATGACAAAGATGATCGCCATGAGAGACGAGACGAAGATCGCCGTGACCGACGAGAAGAGCACGACCGACACGATCGGCGGGAGGGGCGCGACAGGCTTGGAAATTCGCCACAATCATGTAGCAAGTGTATTTGTACTACCAGCTTTGAGCAGTTTTTGTAATTTAAGCCACAAGGAAACTGCGCAGGTGGCAATCTACGCAGGCATCCGAAATATCCGAAACCCAACCTCCGACAAAGCCCAGCCGAACACGTTTCCACGTCTGATTAACCGTTGGTTACCTTGGTTCTGTAATTCGTTCAATGACATCTGTCACTTCTGTCAGGTTAGTGGCTTGAACATGCTTGAAGCTCCTGGCGAGTCCACGACTGTGAGGGCTTTAGATTTTGGATTTCGGATGTCGATGACGCGTCCCCAACTTCAACTTGGATCCCCAACAAGACGCGGGCCACTTTAGTGCCCTGATGTCAGGGATCGTCGCACAGATCGGCGTGATCGGGACAGAGACCGGTGCGAAGCTCAGTGAAGAACACGGCTTCCTTGCACTAGGACATGTGCAACCGGTCTAAGAGTCCAAGAGTGTCAGTCCCAAGGGATCGAAGCCGTGATCGGCGCTAGTGAGCCGGCGTTGTCATAGCTTGGCAGTGTATTATTTTACCATCAATCGGACGAGTGCTCTGCGGACAGCCGGGAAGCCTCCAGAGGTGTGGCTCAGCTGGATCGCAACTTGCGCAGAGAGTCCTGATTCACTGATGGCGTTATGTGACGGCCTTGACTTCCAGAATTTGCCATGGCAGTAGCTGTAGCATCGTGTATAGCAAGTGGGTATGAACGAACCAGAATTGTCGGCTAGTTACCGTCGCGACTCAGATTCCGCCCGCCACCAGCAGGGTGTTGGTTGTAAATTGGATTCGCTTCTGCGAGGCCAATGACCGTTGCCGTAGGTAGCAGGAGGCGATCCTGCCTTGCCCAATTATCTCAACGTTTCCATGTCTCGCGACAGCTGTGGACCTCGGGCACCAGAGAAACATAGCGAGGAAGTACAGCTAGATACCGAGTATCCCAAACACAGCCTTCAGGATTGCCAGGGAATTTCCGCATCAAAGCTTTCACCACGCACTTTTGAGTTCGGGCCTTAGCACTGCGCAACCAGAGACAAGTGCCCCGCTGCATCTGATGACCGTTGGTTTCTGCATTCAGGTTAAGACTACGACAAGCGGCCCGATTATTGCAGGTGGACGCGGTCAAATCACCAGTAGAAGGGCATGAGCAGTGCATTAAAAATAGTCGAACATCATGAAGATGATGGCCGTGTTGATGGTGATGGGGTCGAGGTGGAGAGGTGAACGACAAAAATGTCGATGCTGAGGGTGGCGATGACCGAGATGAACGTGCTTGCTCGGGAAGCGGTTACCGTGGTCGTGGTGGCGGTGGTGGTGGTGGTGGTGGTGGTGGTGCTGCTGCTGGTGGCTTTGGTTGCGGTTGTGGTGTGGTGACGGTGGTGCTTCTTCTTCTCCTTCTTCTTATTCTTTATCTTATCTTGATCTGGTTCTGGTTCTCATCGTTGTTGATGGCGTTGACCCACTTGGTTAAAACAGTCGATGCAGCAGCTGCTCATGATTCTGCACGCTGTGCATTAAGGGCTTTCGTGGATCACAGCGAGATCTTGTTGGCGATGTTGTTGCTTGAGGTGGGTTTTGTTGTTCTGCTGCTGCTTCTTGTTCTTGTCGTTATTGGTGTTGTTGCTGCTGACGATCATGGTGGTGATGTGGCCATGATGGTGGTGGTGGTTGCGACTGTGATGATGATGTTGATAGTGATGCTGCTACTCGTGATGGCAAGGGCCGTGCTCATGATGATGCTGATGATGGCCGTGGTCAGACTGAGTCTGCTCATGGCATTACGACGACCCGGGTGGTGGCCATGATTGATTACGACGAAGACCAAGACGACGACTCAAACACCAACACATGTTGACGATCTCCTGTTGCTGGTGCTGTTGGTGTTGCAGCAGCAGCAGCAGCTCATGATGCTACGATGGCACTGGGTGTGAGGATGACACAGGTGATGGGTTGACTCTAGACTGTAGTAGAGCAAACGTTATTGATGTCGATGAAGATGACCATGAAGATGAGTCTGATGGCGATGAGGGGGGCATCACGACGGCCGAGGCAACGGAGATGGGCCTTTGCTGTTGAACAAAGTGCCTTGCGGCTCAAGAACAGTCACTTGTGATGCGTTTGTTTAGAGCTGCTTCAGGGGTGATATGCCTTTCATTGGGCAGCCACCTGTCTTCGTCGGCCTTGTGCGGAGGTCAGAGGAGGGTTGTGGAGATAAGCAGGTTAGCTTCAAGAAACGACCGGCTGGGATGATGCCATAGTTATGTGACAACGATGATGTTGATGGCGACGAAGTCGATGCCTGCAACTCGAAGGCCAGACGACCAGATCACAGGTCACAGCCCTGAAGCGGTGCCTTCATTAATCTCCATGCGTTTGCGAGGATCTTCAACAGCTGTCTGCTGTTTCTCTAAACCTGGCCAGCAGCTGCGCGCTCAACGGTGGCATGTGGTGCTTGCCGGGTTTTGCTGCTTCAAGCCATGAAACCAGGAGTCGATGGAGTCGGGTGGTCGGCCACGCACGAGTACCTTTTCCAGGACAACAAGATTGAGGGTTGTTCTGTTTGGCCGGGTCTCGTGCAAGTTTGCGCTCGGTGTTTAACAGAGTCTGACACCTTGATCTTGAGAATGCCTCCCGCACGCAAAGTCGCCAAAGTGCAAGAGTTTCAAATTCGCAGACATGGAGCACAGATGCAGAAAAAATCATTTCAATGGAATAAGCCAGCTACGAAATGGCCGCCAAAGCACACACACACAAGTCGCGATCGCATGTGAATGCGAGGAGCCGGGATCCAAAGCCAAGCTTCGTCGAAGATATGCCGGACGCCAACAGTCGACCTTTCTGTACGCGCAAACTGGCGCACTCCAGTTGTCCACAGTCTCAGACTGAGGCAGAGTCAATGCGACAACTGCTACTCAAGGTGGACCTGCCCATAATCTGCCCATTTGTTTGAAGTCGTTCACGTGTCTGGCCGTACTTCTAGAACACTTGGTTAGGGTTGAGGCTGGGGATGCGTGGAGGTATGCAGGGCTTGTTAACGTACGTCTAGACTCTTGACACTGATGTGCACATGCTAAGTTCGCGCCAGCTTGACGGTGCATGTTCTGGTTTGTGTGTGTGTGTGTGTGTAAGTTTCTAGAAACAGAGCTACTCGGCAAAAGCATTACGAGCCTCCCACTCCCCACCTGCTTGCTACAGACTATTCGGGGTGGCCCAAACTACTCAGGGTGGCGGGACGACACATCCAGCTATTTGCCAGCAGACTGGGACATTTCAGCAGCCCTGGCTCACGTCACTACCAGATACGATGCAAAAGGGCTGAGGCGGTCATGTGCGCTAGGTAGTCTTTGCATGGAAGAGAGTCGGAACTTTCTCTGGGGAAGGTCAGATTGATTCTATAACCAATCCGGACACATTCCCGTCGCTAAAGCCTTATATAGGTATGCATTTGTAATTTGCACGACTTTCGGCTGTCACATCGGCATTGACGGTATTGCACAGCCATCTGCCGGCTTCCCAGCAATCCTACGGACTGAACGCCGACACTATGCTTTGCTTTTACTTGAGACATCAATAACTATCTGCCAGACGGATGTTGTGAAGGCGTGGCGGGGCCAATCACAGCAAGTTTGTGGTCGGGTGTTTCGTCTCCCTGGCCAGACCTGGCTGCGGCGCTGTGCAGCACAAGAACCTGAAGGCTGCTGGCCTGGCCTTGTTGTAGACTGCGTGCGTGGGCAGTGGAATCTTGCCATGCTACAAGCCAGAAGCATGCCTCCCAGAAGACCTCCAGGTGCTCTTTCCAGATATTCTGCTCAACCAAGTTAAACCGTTCTGCACAAGCTTTGTAAAGTGCTGTGCTGACCTCAAAGGATCGCTCAGCCCAGGTCTCGTCGCGCACATTGACTGCTCCTCAGCACAGCCTCCCGCATGAGCTTCCGTTCTGTCTTGTCACTTGTCGACGTGTGCGATCAGTGAGTTTCCACCCATTCGGAGTCGAATGCTTGATGAATTTGGGCCGAGGTCAGCTTTGTGCCAGGATAGGGTGTGGAGTGAACCAAGCCTCCAGTCCGAAGCCAGGCCTGTCAAGTAGTTCCCACTGCAGCTGGAGCTGGGACGATCCAGCGTTACAGCCTTGTACATGTGCAAGATTCACTTACATCGCCTGCCACGAGACGAGGGTGTGCAGTTTGATTTTCTTAAGGTAGATTCTTTGGATTCCTGAAGACAGGACTTCCTTCACACATATCAGGACAAGTCAAACTGCGTTGCCAATCTCCTGTACAGTCCTACCGTTCTGACCTGGCCGACTTGATTGAAGTTCAATTCCATCGCAGAGTTCTTACGAAAACGCTGATACCAAGTACCTGCACCCACACGCCCGGAGTTTGGGGTCAATCCATACCAGTAGTTCCTGGTGCCAAACCATCGGTGCCGACGGCTAAGGCAGACTGGCAGCTGGGATCAGCTGGGGAGCATGGAGTTATGCTTTCGTTTCATGGAGCCGGATGCGCTAGGGCCGCTAGGTTTAAGCCGTCCCTGGGGCGAAGTCGTCTCAAGGCCATGTGCCGCAGTGTTTGGGCTTGTTTTTCCGTAACTGGAGCGTATCCTGTGTTCCATCCGAGCTTTAGTTTCCGCGATCAAGTACTGCACCCGGTCTTTCCTTGAGATCGAGAAGACAAAACACCCAAGCCTACTCGTATGTCAAGCGGGAATCGAGCTGCTACATGGGGGATAGCAGGGTTTGATGCGTTGTGGTGCCATTGTGGTAGGGCTTCTCAACCCACTGTGCGCAGAGCACTTCAGATTTCAGCATGTGCCCTGGCGGTTCGGCTGGTGTTGGGCTGACTGACGCCGCATGGGGTGACTTTCATGTGCCACAGGGTTGGAGTGACTTTAGATCGACTGGGCCGACGAAAGGCTGACTCACCTCTTCTCAAGTATAAAGTAACAACACGGTGACAGTTTACAAGACACTTCATCAACCCGTCACCAAATGTCACCAAAATCGTGTTCGACCGCGTTATTTCGAGCTACTCTTGAGAATGGCGTCACTGCGGCTTGTCTGACTGATTTTGAACTGCTGCCGAAACAGCCTCAGAGGGCATCTCGCCATGTCGGCGAGTTTTTGAGCTGAGCTGCGCCAGCAAGCGTTTGCTGCGCAGCCAGAATCCGGAATCCCAGTGGCTTGTCAGCACCTGACCAGCCAGCCCGTGCTAAGTCATCGCACTTGAAGCTTCCAGGCAGATGGGCGTGGCATGCTCTGCCTTTGTCCAAGACAAAGTGGAGGATGTGGAAACTTGCTCGATCAAGAGCGCAGGAGTAGGCCGGGCGTTCATGCTACCCGAATATGCCCTCATGTTCAATGCACTTGGGAGGCCTGGAGTCCGAGCCACTTTGGAAGCAGATGGCACAAGCCCAGATTGAGTCACAGAAGGCTGCAGAGGCACACGGAGCGGAGCTTTGGGTAGCGCCTGACCTGCATGTGCAAGCACTTGAGGCGGTACGTCCAGAAGTGCAAAGGCTTCTTGCAGAGCGTGCAGCTGCCGTCTACCAAGTTCTGTGCCACGGCCTTCCAACGGTCACTAGCACAGGGCTTGAGTTCCAGGCACGACAAGCTGCAGTAAAGCAAGCCGAAGCCGCCCAGGGCTTGGTCGCGGTTGCCATGGAATTGGGTCTCGAGATGGGTTGCGGGCACGGTGTCCTCGGCGCACTCAGGATCGTAAAGCTGCAGAGGCCAAGTTGAAGGAACTGGAGAGACTTCAACGGGAGAAGGACGGGGATGAGGCAGCGGCCAAGAAAGAACAAGAGGACCCCCAAACATCCTTGAGCAGCATCAGCTGATCGTTGGAGGATTTGCTGTGACTGCTTCAATTGGATTCATGACTCACAGACTCATATTCACAGGAGACCAAGAAGGCTGCTCAGGTGCCAAGCAGCAAAGCAAAGCCCAAGGCGAAAGCTCAAGGCTTGGGGCCAAGTCATGGTAGGCATCGAAGGCGAACTGTTCGGGTGCACTGCACAGGTGTTGCAGCACCTTAGAGGTCTTGTCCGATCTGCACAGTCCGAACATGGACAGCACCCAACCCAAAATCGCAGGAGTTCGAAGCCACGTCGCCACATTCCCAAAATAGTGTCAACATCACGCTGGAAGCACCCCCTGCCCGATGCACCCAGACAGGACTTGTCTGGAAAGCCTAGGTAGTGTCAAGTTCCCGGCAGCACCCACAGCGCTTTGATAGCATCCAGGTCCCAAACTCGACAGCCACAATCCCGAAAATTCACTTCGAGAGCAGCCCACGAAGCATCCAAATCCCCAAGTTCTCACAAGCACACCTACGCCAAAAGCACCCTCCTTCGCAATGTGATGCCAACTTCTTGCCCTCATTCTGAGATCCCTGTACCAACACCAGTCCATACTCTTCGGGGAGGTTCTTCCTCGAAGCCTGCAGCTCCGAGTCGGCCTGCGAAGCTGACCAAGGCAGGTAGAAAGCATTTCTGCCATGCTTGACCGTCTTTATCTCCACAGCCGCGGTGTAGCAGTGCAGTGACCACCACATCATTACAGCCGCAGTTCACATTGCGACCTTTGTGCCTAACGGCGGTGTGGATGCAGCTTTGACCTCCCTACCTTCTAATATTCAGAACTGCAGGATCAGGCCAAAGACGCGCTCAATCGAGCTGTTGCCACACGGCTGCTTCAGGAATGCTAGACTGAAGGTGGTTCGTGCACTCGACGACGAACATCAGAAGTAGAGGAGAACCAATTGACATGGTCACCCGGACTTGTCCTGAAGCCTTGCATGCCGTGCACGAGTTGGGAGTGTCGAACTGATATTGAATGGTGAACGGACCGGAGTCCACTGCCGGACGATGGCAGCCGCGACCTTTGAGCTCCTCTGAAGCCGCAGAATTTCAGGCGATTTTCGACATGCCGGAGAACCGGCGAAAACTGCAAGAGGCTGTCACTCGGCTCGATTACCCTCTCATCGCCCTGGGCGGCAGTGGTTGTAGGTCACTTGCACTCAGTTGCAAGAAAAACGAGGGACGCAAGACCGGGGACATACACGGCCCTGTGTACGGAGCAAGGCGAGGCACGTGTCCGACACAAACACCACCCATGTCAGACAGCAGCCCAAACCAACAAACCGTGTCTTCTGCCGCGTTAATTCGTGCAACGGAAGTTCGAACATGCTTCACGAACCTGGAGTCACAAAAACCGCCACCCGCCTTTGGATTGTCTTTTGGCCCGCCAACACATTTGCTGTTGCCTTGCCCCCAAGCCCCCCCGGAAAGCCATGCAACTTCCCTGGGCGCTCACCCCCAACAGCTGCAGGGTCGGTGGATAAAGACCGTGAAGAACAGTGGCAAGAATCTTGATGTCGTTTGATGTCGATGACGATATGCTCTGAGTGTGTATGTTATGCAGTGATAGCAATGACTGATACTGTGAGTGGAGGACACCGGGCGCCGGTTTTAGAACACCAGAATAGAAATGGAAGCCGCTTCAGCTGTTCAGCCTTGCCATGAAAATCAGTTTTCCGGACTTGGCCCTACATAAATCCTACCTCACGGGTGACGCTCGTTGGGTTCAGTCGGTGGTGCATTGAATATCTTGTTATGACGCCAACGACCCCTGCCACTTCATAGATGCTTGCATGAGTTGGCTGGTCGGCTAGTTTAGTTTGGGGTCTTAGACATCTTGAGCCTTCGCTGCAGGGCTGTCGATGATGTTGGCAGATGGCTACAGGTTCTTGAGCCCTCATGCATGCACGGGCCGACAGTCAAAAATAACATTAAGCAATGGTCGACAGCTAGCAGTCAATGTTCAGCTCACGTGCAAGGCTGCGGTTGACGTTACGGAAGTGCCGGCAGGGGCAGCATTTGATGACATTCCTTGGGTTCAGTAGGTGGTGCAAGATTTCCTCCATCCGCCGCTGTGACAGGTTAAGTTAAGACGGTGAAGGCTGTTGGCATTGTGCCCAGTACGCTTGTCAATGGTTATTGTAGTTGTCGTACTGGTGTGGTAATTAAGAGCCGCAGCAGGCAGGAGTTGTCCTATCGCTAGAGCCGTCGTCGAAGCAAACGTTAACGTGATAGAAGCAGTGTCCCTAACACAATGCTGCTGTGGGCTGTCACATGCTGGCCGTGTCCTAAACTCGCGTTCTGACAAGAACGTCGTTCAGGAGCAGATTTCACAGTTGTCGGGTGATGGAGCCAATCTTCAATTTTCTTTGGGCTCGGCTTGCTAACCATACACGTCGGTGGGGCTCCACGCTGTAGCACTGCTTCTACGAGGCATTTTCAGTGGGCTTCGGGCGGGGGCTGGGCTCTTTCCGCACTTTTTTTGCCAAATAGTTTAGTTTTTAGCCGATTTGACGGGCTCAATTTCTAGACCAAAAAACCTTTCCAAAACGTGTCCGCCACAAGGACCTCCCCTCTTGCTGTTGCACTTGGTAAGAACACAGAAAGTTTCAACTTAGTTGATACGTGTTCAAAACAAGACAATCTCAGCATACCTAGAGCCGCTCCGACTCAGGCTAGCAGCTGCGGTGGTGACGATGCCAAAAAGATGGCAGTATTGATGTGCCTTGCTTCATTGTTCCAGTAGCCTAAGTGTCGCCCTTGCCTTCAGCCGACAAATTCCCAACTTCTTAGGCCTTTGGTGCAAGGAATGCTCAAGGATCTTCTGGAGTCTCACGGCTTCACGGGCGAAAAGTGTCTTGTCAAAGAACTTGCGGTAGCACCATCGATGAGGCTCTTCTCTGTCAGCCACATCCATCTGTGTATCGGAGTGCTGGTGGTACCTCAGGATCTTGCATGCCGTCATGCGTCTTGGCAAATCTGTGGTCACTGAGTATTTTGCTAACTTCAACGGCGGTCCACACGAATAAACTTGATCAGCACGATCTGCTTGAAGATGTGCATGATAAGCGCCTGCTTCCATCAGGCAGATCTCGACCCATGCGCAAGGAGACAAGAAGAATCCTTGCTGAAGACAAATTGGTCGAATTCGGACTGTGGGTAAGCTGGCTACCTCCGTCCTTGCCACATTCATCTCTGGGTCTCAGCACAGGGGTACGCATGTTCCGAACGTGCACGCTCGACTGCTCGGTGAGTTTTGGAGCTGAGGATGTCGAAGCAGCTTGCCAAGCTGCAAGCCACATTGGAAGGCAACGTCTAGCCGAGTCTGGCCTGCGAGAGCTCCGAGCAACGAGAGCTCCGACGAGCATAATTCACGGAGGTGCAGAAGCCTGAAGGGCTTTCTGTCCTGTCCTGTTTGCTCTTTGTATTTGTCTCTGTGCGTGTCTTGGACCTTCGACCTCTGGGGTGAGAAATGTGGGAAAGCAACTGGAGACAGATTTCGCAGCTGCAATGTTTCAATCAGTTCCCCAGTTTTTAATCAATGGCTTCCTGCAGAGCTACATTATGTCGGTCGTGCGACCGGCCGCAGGTTTACTTGGAGGGACTGGCGCTGTGGGCTGTGCAGGTATATCCCTTCATAGTCTGTTTGAACGTATGCCACGTCAGGGGTTCATGAGGATGGGGGAGCCCGCGCCGGCACAGCAGTCGCAAGCCTCTCCGCTTCTCTCCGACTTTTAAATGGGTGTGCTGTTGTAGAGTTAATTCATCGGAGTGCAAGCTTTCTTGTCGTCGACGACGTCTTGAATTCCATTCAGTCTTCCCAGCGGGAAGAAAAGACCTGTCCCCCCTTTCAAAGAATCAGATGGCCTCGCTTCATGAAAAAAATTGAGATGCACTCGTTCGCTGCGATGACCTTGAACGGCCCGCCGCTGTTCAAGACATGCTTGCTCATGATGTCAGGAAAGCTGCTTGGCAGAAGCTTGAGTTTAAGAGTGTGGGGTGGGCGGGGGCGGGGGTCAATCCGTCAAATCTGGCAGAAGTTTGGGCGGTGCCATGCCTGTGGGAGCTGCCTCCCGAGCCTAGGCCAGGGGGCTTCGCATCAGTGGAGAAACGAGTCCCATGCAGTTGATGCTCGTGGTGCTGGTCCTTGTGCCGAAATGCATCAGTATCATCACGCAATCTTGTCACATGGTTACATACCATCAGTTCGTGACTGTTGCCGCAGCTAGACGCTACCGCTGCTTCGCTGAGTGGGAAGGGACAGCCCTAAACATGTAAGCACTCGCACGAACGGACATACCGGGATTGCTGCTGCGAGACGGAAGAACCGAAAGCCGTAACCATTACAAGTCAAGCGTCGTTAATGTACACATGGTTTGACAAGCATGAAGAAACAAGAGAGCATGTGTATCTGTGCCCGTCGGCTGGAGGGGCTCACTCTTGCGGTCAACAGACCCGCTCGAGACAGTACTGTAGAACGACGAGGTCTTGGCTTCCGCTTTCTGCAGCATTTGAGGCTTCAGAGCGAACCAGAAAGACTTTGGTCCTCCGTGCAGCATGACGCCTGTGAGACGGCGGTTGATGCAGTGCAGACAAAGACACAGAAAGTACGAGAACAGGTCTGTTCATGTCAAGATGCTGCCGTGAGTAAAGTAACCCTTGTGAATCCGCAATGCACTAGAGCCTTGCTTGTGAATGCTTGTGACTGAGCCAAAGAGCTCTACATTTGCCGGGCTTGATATTTGTTGAAGGCTTCTCGGATCCTACTATTGCGTCAGTTGTGACACGATGTAAAGTTTTGCCCCGACACAGCTTGGAGACTGGAGGCAATGCTCAGAAAGCAGCTGCGCACAGCGCTGGGCGCAAGGTTCCGCTGCACGTCCTGCAGCCGCCTGCAAGCGGTCCGTAGACATGCCGCTTCAGGGGGAGGCTCGTTCGGATCGAGCGGAGCTTCATTCCACCTTGTCAGCCAAGCAGTGCCTGCATGGACATGCCCTTGTCTGCATGCTGAAGTTCTGTGATCCACTTGTCTACTGCTGTCGCTTTCACCGTGAGTGCATGGCAAGTCTTCGGCTGCAGACTTGCAAGCGTGCGAAGCTGGAGGCACCGAACGTGTCGATGCGGCGTCTGAGGCCCCGGAGGCCGACACCGGAGTGGAGGGCCGGGGACATGCGGGGATCACCGTTTTATGCTCAGCTCGAGGCCAAGGCTGCCGAGCAGGCTGAGGCACAACGTCGGCTCTTCCAGGCAGGGCCGCAGTCGGCAAAAGCAGGAGCGGCTCCCGGCAGCTGACCGCATTGTCAGACTTGGCACATACCATGATTATTTTTCTTATCAGAATCATGTTTCGCGATGTGGTCTGACTGGCATGCATGCCTGACGGGACGGGTATGGAAGGGAGTGGAGGAGGCAACGCATGCTGGAGGCGTCAGCCGGTGCGATGTCCCTTCACTATTGCCGAGACCATGGGATGAACAGCATCTCGCGGTTTCTGCGCAAAATCACCATCGACATGAGCCCTTTTGCTGCAAACTTGGGCGTGCCAGGATGAGAGAGTCTTGCGTGGTTATCAGAAGCGATTTCCGCAAGGTTACAGCTTCAGACACTGGCGGAGGCACCAGCGTGCTACGCGGCACTTGCTGCTGTGGACGCCCTCGAGAAACAGCTGCAGTGTGACGGTCATGGATTCCGGTTATGTGTTCTGATTCTGACAACTCAGTCATTCCTACTCGATGAGCCTATGAGCCCTGACACCAAGGAAAATCTTAAAGTCTGACAACATACGTCGACTGATTTTTCCAGATCTGGCCCTCATTGGTGCAACATCCAGTTGCTGGGCTTTGCATGGTATCGACACACAAGACCACTCACAAGACCTTCCGCAATCAAAAGAGTCAAGGGGATGTTTTTTGGTCAGCGCTGCTCCTTGTTGGCCGGATCTTCGGCTCGTCTTGCCGGTGTGGCGAAGAGAGCTCTGCCGAGGTTTTGTGTGCTACTACAACGTGAATTCTGATTTGGTTGCCAGCATCGTTGGCCGAAGCCGCTTCGATATCGGTTTAAAGTCAGACGCCCCTTGACGATCCCTTCTAGTACTCAGTGCTCCGGGCTCCGGGCGAGTGTCGCAAGGCTTCGACCTGGCACTGCCAAGCTTGCTGTCGCTTCCGGCCTCTTGCCTGAGGGCCTCCTCGGAGGGCACGGCCGGTCGCGTCTTGTGACAGCTCTCGCTGCGCTCTGAGGTCGAGTGCTTCACCTTGACTTCTGTGGCTTTGGGCTTGCTTGTGACGTGGTAGAGATTTTCAGAGTTCCCTGCTTACTTTGTACTGAACGGGTGTTTGCCCAGTGCATGGGGCCGAGGTGACCTTCAAAACCCAGACCAGCTATCAGCGGCTGCTTGAACAGTCACACTGGGATCACGAAACAAAAGGGCCTACTGACAGGCTAAGCTGCTGCAACTTCTCAGTCTCAGGTTTACCGAAGGTCGCTCACTTTGGGGTCTGCTCATCAATGAGTCCCGGGCGATGGCGAGCAGGACCATGGCGAGGGTGCCCTCGTCGACAGGCGGGCAGCTCACTGATGCTGCTCGGGCTGCCGGTGTCGTGTCCGAACGCCTATCCTTACTTGAGGAATCTTGTCTTCGGATGTTGCGGACGGGAAAACGTATGCCATCAAGCTGATCAGGACTATTATTGAAACTGATGTCAGTGTCAGCTGAGCTTATTTCAAGCTATTCGCCGCAGGACCCTGCCGGTGGTTCTGAAATATCACTTGACCGAAGACGGATGCAATCCGAATATCGAAATCAAGCAGTGTGTCTGCATTGTTCTTGGAATGCGCTTGTTTCTGGACGGCATACGCAGCGCAGCGTTTCCCACATGCTTCGGTGATGGGATCTGCTTGTGGCGTGAAGGGCACTGCTTCTCCGGAGGGGCGCTTTGGCCACCGAAGAGTCCCGAGTATCAAGCTTCGGCCCATTTCGGCTCGCGACTCCCCTAATCAAGCATCCTAGAGACCTTCCCACGCTTCACCGTATTGTTCGCCTTCTGGCCTGTGCAATCTTGCGCTTCCGATTGCTCTGTGCTGATATGATGGCTGCTGACTTGGCACATGGAGAGAATGTGCGTCGCCAGTCGCCAGTCGAGACCTGCAAACCAAACAGCGGACAAGCAAACCTCTTCGTGTTGCGAGCTGTAAGACTGTAAGCGTTGGCATCGGGCGAGAACGGAACTTCGGCCAAATTGCTTGAATTTGCACATGCTCTGAAAAGACGGGACGTCATGCGGGTGAGGCCGATGACCGATGTTCGTTGCTTCTTGCATGTTCTGATTCGGGCGAGCGGCTTGGTTCCGCCCAGGTTCAAGGGATGATCCCCACGATGATATACAGGCATCCCCCCCTCACAGGCTCCAGGCAATCAATGCCTTTCGCACTGTTTCCACCTTCCACGTCCTCTAACTGCAGCTTTGAAAACGACTGTTTTGTGGACTGGGAGGGCTGCAAAGCCTGGGGTGGCTGCCGCCGCAACACTATCCTATTTGGTGCCTCTTGGCTCACGGTGTGTCCGTGCCTCTGGATACTTCCGCCTCCCGAAACCGTGATCCTGCCCCATTACCGTTCAAATGGTGCTTCCGCCACAGTCCCGCGCCTTGTTGGGGGCGCAACGTGTTCCTGCAAAGCGCACAAACTCATGGAGTGGGAAGGCCTGGGAGCCTCATGTCCTGCTGGAGTGGTTCTTGCGCATGTTAGGCAGACGTTGGGAACTTGTCAAAGTTACAGACTAGTGCAGGGCCGAATCATCCAGAAGCTAGAGGTGGCTGAGAATCGTCGGACAGGGAGGAAAAGCAGATGGCTCGGACGGTAGACTGAGGGCCGAATGAGTTTCTCGAGGCAGTGGACTTCGGACCAGCAAATCCGACAGCAAACCACCGCAGATGCTTGGCAGCACATGCACTGCTGGACACTGCTGGAAGCTAGCAAGACGCTGGCAGCAGGCTTGCTGATCTGAGGCACTCAAATGCGAGCTTCAGCAACTTTGGAATCCCTACGATGCAAAACAGAACAGCTTTACAGAACGGCTGGTTGAGGCTTATTCGACCGAGCGAGATTGGTGTTCAGTGCAGACAGAGGCATCAGAGAGCTCTTCGCTTGTCTTTTGCAGGCCGATGTGGCCAACCGCCCTCTGTATGTGTTGCATGAGCTGCAACATACCTCCGCCAGCATCTTCGCCCAGCCAACCCTCGGAGGCAGACAAGTCGTGACGTGTCGTATGGTGAGTCGTGTTGGCCACCTTTGGGGCACGGTAAGGCCTGGATGCAGTTGCAGCGACGGAGATGGACCGCAGCCTCACCACCTTCCACAATGCTCCGCGGCGTAGGGCATGGCACGGGGCAACTGTCCCTTGAGTTTGAGCACTAATTCCTTTCTTGGGAAGTGCCTGGATCGTTCTCCAGTTGCCGGTTGTTGCGTTTTGAGGTCCTTGGAGCATGCGAGAAGATCCTCCGGACACCGATATACACGCCGTACACGAGATTTACGAGTCGCTTTCTTTTTATGCCACTTGTCTGTTATAGTTGCTTGCAACTTGACAGACTCGCTAAGGCCAAGATTCAAAACAATCAATGTTTCTTTCATGTAATATAGTCATACATACCGTAGATTTGTAGCACTTCAGATTACCATGCACCATCTGCATGTTCAATGTCACTGGTTGAACGGAAGTGCAAAGCGAAAGAACACAGGGATGGAAACCCGCAGCGGAGCCGTGGCCAGCAGGTGAGTGAGCGACCGCTTCGATAGCACAAAAAAACCCAGCAGGAACAAAGAAGACAGCACCCTTCCACGCAGCAACAGAAAAACAAAAGCAAGCCCCCGCAATCTTCGCGCTTCAAGCCAACACCTGGTTGCAGAGCATTGTCACTTGGAATCTTGCAGTGATCGTTAGCATTGTTGCTATTTGTGAGTATGTGGCGAGGAAAACAGGGCACTGGATGTTGGTTTCGACCCTGGCGTTTCAGGCTTGCTGTTGGATTCGCAAGGTTGCACAGGACAAGCACTTTACGTTCCACAAATTACAAATTTAGTCCTCGGTCGAGTCCACGTCGCTGAGAATGGGGATGAGTTTAAGTGTATGTAGAATGGGCCAAACATCACGACTGCACTATGACAAGAAGCTCCAGCAGGTTGGTCGACTTAGGCAGCGGCGTGGTGCTACGTGTCGACTAAGCTGCGGTCTTATGATGAGCCGACACCCTTCGAAGCATGCTGAGTCCTTTCAAACCCTGTGCGCCCCTTCGATGCGCAGCTGAAGCCCTTTCGCAGCCAGCAGACCAGAAACACAGACACACGCGCGCGAACAGCAATAAAAAAACTCCCTCCCTCCCTTCCTTCCCTCCCGACCTACCTCGCTCCCCACAGAAACAACACAAAAGCAGCAACAGCAAACGACAAACGCATGGAGGCTCGATCGAGATGCGGCGTCCACTCATTATCACTTAGTCCAATCAAGCGGATAGAAATAAAGCGCACGAACTTTGTCGCCATTCCAACGGAGGCCGAAACACTCGCTATGTAGCCCAATCAAGGAGAACTGAAAGGAGCTGAAAGCGATTGAAATTCGTGAGACGGAGAGCAGCCATGGCCAGTCGGAAATCTAGAAAGAGCGAAGTAAGGGGTTCGACTTCCAGTCTGCACGTTTCTTCACCAAATGCGACATGTAAGAAAAGCGAGTCGTTTCGTTTCCTCCTTCCAGTCATGCAGCATAGACATGCCGAAGCGACCAAGAGCATGGCTCCTCTATCCTGCTCTCCAAGGTGGTGCAACTTCCTGCCAGCTCCCTGGAGCATGTGAAACAGCGAAGAGAAGTCAGTTACTCCAGTTGCTTGTGAGGGGTTCCGTCGAAGTTCTGCAAGGGAGGCTGTGGAAAACCTGTCCCAGGCCATTAGCAATGTATCCAGTGGCTGGACCTGCGCTAACCGTCCCGGTCACGCTGGTGACGAGCTTCTTCATGCTCGGCATAGAGGCAGTTGCTGTTTTCAGGGTGGATATCTGGCCACGATGTCGCTTTGCAGCTCGAGTGCTGGACGTGTTGCAGGACATTGGCTCCAGGGTCGAGCAGCCATTCAACGTGTTGCCACTGTAAGATTCTCAGTTGGCGGAAAGTCGAATCCTTTGCCATGGTTTTGGAACATGCCCTTGGATTGCGAAGCACGAGGTGGCAGTACTGCCAAACAGCGACTTGTCTAGATCTCTTGTCGCCAGTAGACCCCACTGCCTTTGCAAATCTTTGCGATGAGTGTTGGCATGCTCGTTTTCGGAGCCCAGATCGACCAGTCCTGCTTGCAAATCGTCAGGCAGCGGCAAGCTGTTGACTGTTGCAAGTAGCACCTCCATCATGTGGAAATTGAACATGGCTCAGTGCGCGGCGAGGCATCACGACCTTTTGGAGCAGAGCGACCATGCGATCGGCGAAGATGATCTGCACGAGTTTGACTGGGATGCGCCTCGTTTGGTCTCGGAGAGGCTTTCAGAGGTCCTATGCCTAAGAGATAATGCGAATCCTCGAAACCGACGGCTTCTCAGGTTGAATCCTTGGGGACCCTTGGTCTGCAGTGTGTGGGCAGAAAAGAAGCGACAACCGATAGTTTCATGACCTTGAGTACTGGCCGCATGTGACTGCAAAGGTCCTACGTCGATCCACTGGCCACCAGCCACAAGAAGACCTGAGCGTTGTCAAAAGTGCCACACGAAAAAAGCTCCCTGCATGTTCCCCTGCACAAGTAAAGAAATCGTTCAGCGTAACAGACGAGAACAGCTTAGGCCCTGTCCTGCTGCAGCTGTGTTTCGGTTCGGCTTGCCTTGTCGCCTAGCCCCTCAAAGGCCCCTCTCACTCCACCCCTTGGTTCCAGGTTTGGGTTTGGCTCAGCTTGACTTTCTTTTACCTGCAGTTGCACATAGGTATTCCTCTTCCGCCTTGCCTGTACCTCGCTAGCCTTGGTTCATCCATCTTCTCCATGACGCCCTAGCCACCGACTCAGTCTTGCCCATTTCTTATCACTTGAGTGCCTGGTCGGGGCTTGTGCCGGCCGGATGATAGCCCTGCTTGGTCATGAATCACACATGTTGAGGGAAGTCCGCTCAACTACCACTTCGAGCATCCCCCCGTGTCCCAAAGTTTAACGCCCTGTACACCCAGTCCCTGCGGTTGAAGACTTTTTGGGCAAGATTTCCGTTTTACAGCGCACTCGACTATCACGGCGACGACTGCTACTGTACTGCCAAGAAGGAGCTTCCCGCTGGCTACTGGCAGGCCCAGGTCAAGAAGTTCGAGTCCGTGACGATCAAGGGCATAGCAAGGAGATTCCCAGAAACACTGCTCCTCGGCGCGGAAGCACCGCACTCTTTTGCGAAGCTGTTTGACCCTTCGAAGATCTCCAGGCTTGAATCCTGAGATGGTGGTATATGATGTTTGCTGTGGAACACCTGATGCACATGCAAATCACAAAGGCGCACGAAGGTGTTCAAGGGACCTTGTCAAGTGGCAGCTGACTGACCAGGGACGTTAGTCTGGCGCAGCCTTTAAATAGCTTGCTTGACTTTCCGAATTGCGAGTGAGCCTTTTGGTATGAGGTGCGGCTCGTGACATGTGGAGCTACACAGTTTGAACACCAAGCTTGACTCACTGCTGGATTTCCTTTTGAAACAC